GGCAGCGGCGCCTCATTACCATGTCCCTCTTTAGCATATTTCGATTTGCATACCCAGGGTGCACCGCGCCAGAGCAGAGCCCCGTCGAGCCCGCTCTGCGCCCGTCGCCACCCGGTTCACCGCCGTGTCCGCGGCAGGGCAGGCGCAGCGGCGGCACCGGAGCTCGGCCGGGCCGGGCCAGGCCGATGGCGGCGGGGCGGGCGGTCGCCGTGTGCTGGGTGCCGGCGCGCGGCGGTGGAGCGGCGGCGGCGGGCAACATGGGGCATACTCTGGTTTCTCTTCAGATCGTATAAATCTTTCGCCTTTTACTAAAGATTTCCGTGGAGAGGAACAGGCACGAGTGTCGAGGAATTTTTTGAGGCTCCATTTCGGTGGAGCTGCCCCAGTGCTGGTCAAAAACAGAAACAAGTTTTAGTAGTGAGTCTCATGAGATGATGTGCTCTGCAGCAGCGCCTGGCCCCATGGCAGGTGGAGGGCGGCTGTCGCTGCTCTCTGGACCCTGCGTGCCAGCAGGGGGCGCCCTGGCTGCCGGCTGCTCTCGCTGCTCTCCCGGCTCCGTGTCCCGGCAGGGCGCCCCTGGCGGCCGGTCACTCTCCCTGCTCTGAGGCGTCGGCGCCGTCGCGGCCCGACGGTCGTTAGACGGGCGGGGCGGCCTCCTTAGTGTCCCTCATTAGAATTCCCTCATTAGCATACCCAGGCTGCACCGCGGCAGCACCGCGCCGGCCCCGTTACGTTCCCGTTACGGCCCCGCTGCCGCCTGCGGGGCCGCTCGGGCCGGGGCGGCGCCGCGAGCTCCGCGCGCCCGCGGCGGGGCCGGAGCGGCCGGGCGGGGCCGGCGGGGCCGGGGGTCGCCGCGGGCTGGGGGGCGGCGGGCGGGCGGCGCTCGCTGCGGTGCCTTAGAGCGATTCATACTCTGGTTTCTCTTCAGACCGTATAAATCTTTCGCCTTTTACTAAAGATTTCCGTGGAGAGGAACAGGCACGAGTGTCAAGGAATTTTTTGAGGCTCTGTTTCGGCGGAGCTGCCCAAAGCTGGTCAAAAACAGAACTTATTGAGCAACGGCCGTTATAGTTGTGGATTTTAGCCAACAACCGGCTCTGAGCCGCGACTGTCTCCACGAGTTAAGAGGGGCCGCGGTGGCAGGGGAGCTGTTGTCCTAACGGTCGTTGTTGGGGCGGTCGCTGTTGACGCGGCAGTTAAACCCGGCAGTTAGAGCCGTTAGAGCCGTTGTTCTAACGGTCGCTGCTGGGGTTAAACCCGGCAGTTAGAGCCGTTAGAGCCGTTGTTCTAACGGTCGCTGCTGGGGCGGGGCAGGGTCCGCTGCCACCACTTTCCCTCTCGCCGGTCATGTGCCTGCAAGCCTTTTATAATTTATTCATTTATGTACTTACTTTACTGCGGTGGGAGGCCTTGAAAAGAGGGTCAAAACCCTGTCCCCCTCTTACCAGCACGTTCTGGTCATCCCCCAAAGAGCTGTACACGTGGGCAGGCCCCGAGGCGCTTCGTGAGAGGCCCTGAGCCGAGCAGCCGCTCACACGGTTCCCTCTCCTCTCCAGCCATCCAGCTGCTGAGGGCCCTCATGGCGTGCGAGGTTCGGCCAGCCCTGCTCCAAGGCCTGGTTGCGCTGCTGACACCACCCAGGAAGGAGGCGTTGGCCCTCGCCAGCGAAACGGCCCAAGGTAGACACGCTGAAGAAGGCAGCAGGCGGGCACACAGCAGGTGGTGGTTTGCGAGGGCCATGGAGGTTGGGTAAAGCAGTGCCTCCATCAGTGCTCTCTTCCCTCCTTCTGCAAAGCTCATGGGTCCTCCTGTCTCTGTAGGGGAGGGGATGCAGGAAGCTGTCGCACATGGCAAGGGGAATGGCAGCAAGGGGTGCCTAGGTCACAACCATCCTTCAGGAATATGGGGGGGGGGGGGGGGCACACTGTGTAGTTCAGTGCTACAAAGTCCATGTCCAGCAAGGTCAGGAGGGTAGCAAGGCTCCTGACACGTGAATGCCATGAAATGGGCAGTACGTGGTAAAACAAATGGGAGCTCGGACAGCCCTTTGCACTAGTGCAGACCTTCAGACCCCCTCGAGTCTGCAGGGTGAGGGTGATGAACAGCCCCAGCCCTGGGCATTTCCTTCCCTGACTCAGCAGAACAGGCTGCAGTGACCGTGTTTGTGTTGCTATGGGTGCCTTGCCTATAGATCCTTGCCGTACCACTTAATGATACAAAGCCACAGGCATCCCTGAGGCACATTTTCTTAACAAAAAAAAAAAAAAAAAAACCACTATCCTCCTTTCATACTCACAGTGTAACCTCATCTTCTCTCCCTTCTAACATGCCATAGGAAAAGCCTGTCAAAGCACCATTCTCACCCTCCTAATGTTCCTCTTGCAGACCCAGCCCAGCCTTGCCTGAGAGAGCCCATGCTGCTGTATATTCAGCAAGCAGCTGCTGCAAAAGCCATTGGGTAAGTAACTCTGGGCCAAACCCACAAGAGACTGAGAAGGACTTTAAAGAAAGGTCCCTTCGGATCAGGCCATTGGTGCATGCATTCACAGTGTCCCCTCTTTGTCCAGAAGCTTCAAGCGCTCTCAGTGTATCTGGTGAGCTCAGCAAGCAGTGAAACACCATTATTTAACATCAGCCACTCAATGGAAGAAACCAGTGCCTGTATCTGACTGGAGAATCCTTACAGTCAGCCTTTTGTGCTAAACTTTGTGCATTTCCAATGAATTCCCTTTAATGTCCACCAGATAGTGCTGTGACAACATTTCTCCTGCAAAAGCAGGTGACAAAAAGCCCTTAGTGGGCTGGGAGGCGTATTGGGGTGTCTTCCAGGGCATGGGCTCACAGAAGCAATCTTGGGGGTATTTCTACCTCTGTCCTGGGTCCTTCACATAGGAAACTTGCTAGGCTTTAGCAGACCCCACTTGGAAACTCCTGACAATCATTTACCAGTTGTTTTCACCAAAGCTACGTGTTAAATGATTGACAGTCCATGCAGAGCCGAATGTTTCTCGCTTATTTTGAGCCACCTCTGCCTCTTACCCTACAATGCCACTCGCTGGGAACAGTGTAGAAAGAAAAGCCCGTCCTTTCCACCGGGGTCTCACCAGGCTCTGCAGTAAGAGGTGCAGCCTGGAGCCACTGCTTGCTGTGGGAGTTAGTCGTGAGCTGCTTCCCGCAGACAGGGAGGGGGCTGATGCCTGATCCCCTTGCAGCATTTTAGCCAAGGAGTCGGCCACGGTGGCAGAGGAGCTGATCCAGCTGGGAGTGGTGCACAGCCTGATGGTGGCCATGGGGAATCAGGATCACGCGGTCAGCCAGCGACACGCCAGCGTCTCCTTGGTGGTGAGTGTGGTGGTGTGTGATGGTGGAGGACATTGTAGGAGGGAGGGGTCTTCTTCCAGAGCTCCTTAACACAAAGGTTCCCTGCACTGGAGGGTGCTTCTAAGCACAGCAGAAATGGGCTAATCAGAAAGGCAGGAGTGACTCTCCTTCGCAAAGTAGCTGTGTGCCACCTGCCTCAGCACAGCCCTGCCTGCATAACAGCCACAGTGGCAGTTGGGAAGGGGAAGGAACAGGCAGGTAGAGGGGAAAGGGGCACTCACAGACCAACAGACTGAACCCCCTATCAGCTGCTTCGCTGAGATCATTTCACTGAAATGCCCCATTTTTCTCTTGTCCAAAGAAGAAGGGAACTGGCACTGTGGGAGAGTGGTGGGGACAAGGTGAGGCTTGACCAGGGACCCACATGTCACATCCTCTTCCTTGAGGAATTGAGTCTGGGTTCATGAAGTGCCAGCAGCAGCACAGGAGCCAGAAGAGATAGCTCAGAGGGTCACATCTGGACCCACATGTGGGTCCCACCTCCCACCCTCCACACACTCACATCCCTACTGCCTGTACAGCAGCCTTCTGTTCTGTTGCAGTATTTTGTCCGCACATTTCCTTCTGTGGAGGAGACCGTGAGATTGGCAGTGGGGGACACCCTGTTCCAGCTATTTATGGTAAACATGCCTCCCTTATTTTATTTTTTAAATAGCCCTAAGAACTTGTGTAAGGGTTTGGACTTTTCACAAGAAAGCTAGTCTTGTATCAGATCCCAGAGACTATCCTTTTGTACGAAGATGTCCTTTTAGTAATGTTTATCTTCAGTTCCAGTGTTCAGGAAGATCAGTCACTCTGACCTCACTCCTCAGTGAGCAAGGAAGGACTCCTGCTACTGCTGTGATATGGGGACCTTGTGTGTCAGGAGGGTGGCCTAAGGGCCAAGGAGATAGGAATTCCCCAAACTCAGCAGCCTCAAGTCCCTATTGAGGCCAAGGCAGCTATTGTCAGGGTAACTTGCCCCATGCCTCCGGTGGTTGCCCAGGTCCCACTAAGGTAGTAACACCACCTTCTTCTCTGCCTCTTCCAGGACAGTCCTGACACATGGTACACAAAAATGGATTCATTCCAGGCTGAAATACTGGCCTCCACGGGAGGGCACAGCCCCCAGGAGCTGGCTACACTTCAAGCCACTGAAGGTGTGTGCAAAACCAGGCTCCGTCACTGGAAGACCCCTCTCCATCCCCTCCCTATTAATTCATGTCAGTATAAAAAGTATACGGTTTAGTTCAGACTAAATGCATCTCCAAGCCCCTTACCACAGGCAGGGACTAGGCCCCAGGCTCATGATGGGGTCAGAGGAGAACACAGAGCAGCCAAGGGGCTCCTTGATCCAGGGTCTTTGTGCTGGTGAGAGGTGCATCCTGCCTCCAGGGCCAGGCCTGTTTTGTTCTTTCAGGGACAAGCCCTGGAGAGAACTGAACCCACCACAGAGGGGAGCGGCCGCTGTCTCCCCCACCCTAGGCCAACTCCTGCCTGAAGACAGTGGGTATGAGAGCAGAGGGGTACACAGTACACAGGAAGGCCCTGCTTTGCAAAGGCTTCTTCCTAGGTAAGCTTTGCCTTCAAATACAGTTTTTTTGGTATACTACAGAATGTGTTATTGCATGTGGACTATTACACCCCTTCTTGGAAGGAAAAATAGATGAGGCTGCCTTCAAATTCAGGTTAAACTGCAGAGGTCCAAAGGAATCAAGAGGACCCTCCACACTTGGCCACTAATCTAAGTTACCACATAAAATATATTAAGCTCTTCTTAACTGTAGCAACTGATAGAAAATGTCTCCGAGGGCACCTGCTTCCCCTTGCTAGGCAAGTTCTACCCCACAAGATCCCAAAATTAAAAGACAACATTTATTTAGAATGATTTTTTATATGAACATTACACATATAAAGAGTTTAAAAAGAAACACTCCTCAATAAGCCAGCCCACCTGTACAACACCAACCAGTCTTTAGGGGCTGCCAGACTCCAGCAAAATAAAGAAAATATTTTATAAGATAGAAATTAATTAAATCCAGAAACATTTATTTATCAAGCAAACTTCTTAAAATAGTGATTTTTTACAGTTACAGGTAAGTCCATTTTCTTTCTAGAAAAGCCAGACTTGCAATTTTGCAACATTTCAAGCACATCTGGAACCAAAAATAGTATGTACACTAGAAAGCTATACACATATCTAGTTATTAGGAGACTGTAGTCACTTGTGTTAGACATCTGGCAGACTCAAACCCCTCCTCCCCAAGCCTTGCAGTGAGGGTTTCTAGCAGAGTTTCTGCCACCTACCCTGATTCCAGGCCACTTAGGGAGAGGCTGCCATTTTGCTGCCTCAGGCACGCCTGACCTACACACTCTACCACATTTAAAAGAAGGGTTACACAAACCACTGACATATGCAAGAGATACAGAAGATTGCTTGTGAACCACATTTTGCTATATTTACTGAAGCCTCTGCTTGCTCATCTGCTTGCTGGCTTGCTCTTCCAGTTGCATGGCAACTCCCAGGGCCTCTAATGTTTCTGGAAAGGGAAAACAGGAGTGTTAGGGGGACTGATGCCATAGCTGAATTCACAAGCCCAGCTGTCTCAGCTGTTCAGCAGGGCTCTGCAAGGGCCACATAGGGAAGTAAACATCTCAGAAATAAAAAGAGGGAAGAACATCTCAATTGGCACCAGATCATGTCTAATCCACAAAGCCTTCCATTTTTTTCCCCTACTCATCAAGAATTTCAAGCTTGAGGCTTGCATAATTCAAGCTAAATGCTACTAACCCATTCATTGAGTACCTCAGAGGACCATATCTAACCAGTCAGTAGCACAGAGGGTGGCAGGCTGCTTGCACCAGACCTCTGCTCTCAAGCTGCATCCAAGATGGGAGGGCAGTTATGGCCTTTGGAAAAAATCACTACTTCTTCCTGACAATAGTTCACTTTGCCTTTCATCATCATTTGAAAAACCCTCACAGGCAAATATCCAGGCTGTAATTGCTGAAGTGCCATTTAGGCAGTGCAGAGGGAAGAGGCAGCTGACATCCCTTTGGCACAGAGCTGGGAGATTTCCAAACCAGGTTTGATCTGTGCAGTTGGAGGCATTTTGATACACATCCAGTGATTCCCTATATTAAAGTAACCACACAGGTGCTGACAGACATGTCCTATGAGGATATGCCTGACAGACCAGTTATAAGTGGATAGGTCTTGAGGCCCAATATCCACAAAAATGTAAGTGGAAACAGTGGGCCTACCTGGTAAATCCCTAGTGTTCTCATGGACCTATTTCTCAAAGTCACTGTTTTTGTCCAAGGCAAAAGGTAAAAACCATATAACTACATAACCAGCCAGGGAGACTTTAGTGTATCTGCTCATAGTGGATATTGTTTTCTGCTCAAGGGAAGGTAGTTCTCTATGGCAATGAAAAGCAAATGGAAGTTACTAGTCAAAATTTTGCTTGGTAAAGTGCAGGCAAAAAGACAATTCAAATCTGTTCCTATGATCTCCTAGTAATATGATCAGAAAGGTAAGCTAATCAGGAGGACTGGGAGCTCAAACCCCCATGGTTGTGCTGATACCAGTTTCTGATCTTTGAAATCATTAATAGCAGTGCTAGTGCCTGTTCTAGAAGGTACATGTCACCATTATCCCCAAAAATGTTAACATACCTCCAACACTAATGATGTTTCTTGAGCTTTCCTCTACAAAGCACTTAGCTCTGCTGACAAAGGTCTCGAGATCGTAGTCTGGCTGCTCAGTCATTCCCAAGAGATAGTCAAGTTCAGTCATTTTCTGCATTTCAAAAGAGGGGCCATTATGAGAAATAAACTCTTTGGAAGGAACTTACTGAGTTTCCCATCTGGCACATGAATTAGAGCAGTGCCCGTTAGCAGCAAATGAAGGTCACTAGTAGGAGGTGAAGGGAGACTGGTTGGCCACAAGCAGCAAAATGGGCCCATTTAGCTACTTGGGCAGGAAACAACAAGAAGGTGGCAGTGAAGAAAAGGTGGTTCTTGCATTATAGAATATGGCCTACCCATTAACACTTGGCTCAGACAAGGCAAGCTACCGTCAACACGTAGGAAGCATCTTAGGCAGAGCTCACATCTTCCACATACCTGTTTTAGTTCTCTAAGCTCTTCTATAACTTTCTCCTCCTGCTCACCAATTTGAATCACAGCCTCACGGAAATTGAACATGTGGGGAGAAAGATCTTCCTCCTCATCCTTGGAAAGCTGCAAGAAGAAGTCCAAGTAAGAATAGCAAGCTGTTACCAGCTCCAATATCTGTTCAGCCCACTGCATACACATACATTGTGTTGAAGACTCAAGACTTCTCCACTGGTTTCTGTTTCCTCATTATCAGTTTCCATATGATTCTGGATTTCACCAGCTCCATTGTGAGGGCTGAGCTCTTTCACTCTGCAACAGGAACATCTGTCACTCTGCTGTCAACAGTTTCTGGGCTGCAGCATCATCAAGCAGTTATTGCAGTTGATCAGTCCTCACCAGGAAACATTTTGTTTCATTAGAAAAGTTTCACATTACCACCCCCAAAACAAGGGGCAGAAAACTCAGTGGGCCGCAGGAGGGGGTGCTAGATGCTAGTCTCAGTGCCCTATTTAGTCATATCAATCTAGGACCTCTGCAGCCAAGAAACAGCCAAGTACACAATGCTACAGGCAGCCACAGAGGCTGTCTGTCTTCCACATGTCAACTTGCTCTTTCGTGACCAACCAAAAGCACTTCCAATATAGAAAGAAAAGGAATGAAAACATTCCATAGGGCACTCAAATCCCACAATCACCACCTAAAAGTGGGCACCTCCTAACCAACTCATATTAAATGCATCAAGGACACAGTGAATTCTCTCACCTATAGGGCCAGGTCAGGGATGCATTCTTAGCACACATGTACAGATAGGACCCAGCACAGACCACAAGCAAAATAAGGGGCATAGAAAATGCTATTCAAGACTTTTTTTGGCCAGGTAAACTCACTGCAAGACTGCTCCCCTGAAGGAAGGAGGAATTAATAATGGTTTTAATGCAATCTATTATGCTTCAGGCAGAAAGAATCTAGGTTAATTGTGGAAATCAGCTCTAACAAAACTTGCACTCAGCCTCTGAGCTGCCATCAAGGGAAATGACAGCAAGCAAACTTGATCAGAATAAGAACAGTCCAAACCCCTTCTGCAACAAGAACCCCCAGGTCAGAAAGGCCATTACCTGTCAGCGTATCTCAGTGTGTTTAAGGTGTACTCACAGGAACTCATGCCTGGAGAAATCATTGCTATCTGTAAACAGAACAAAGCTTCAGTAAATACCATGTCTGCTGGCTTTTGGTCACAGTGGCTATGGTCAGTGGAAGAAGCTGACTTGACTGGTTTTCACAGCAAACCAAAACTCTGAGGCTTCAACATCCCCTCATCCTAGAAGGGGACATATACAGCTAACCTGCTTGCTCTCAAGCAGGTGCAGGTTTGACTGTGCCATGCACGTACTCACCATACAGGTCCTCGAGTTTGCTCCTATGAAAGAGTCTCTTAGCACTTGGGTCAGCTTGCTCTCCCGGAAAGGGGTGTGAGATTTGTTCTGCCCTAGGGCTCGAATACATTCCTAGAGAAAGACAACTCTTATGAATGCAATGTCTGCATCTCTTCTCAAACAGTTCTGCAAACTACTAGCAAACAACTGCTGGTAAATCCAGCAGGCTGGAAAATGGTCACCACTGTTGTTCTGTAAGCCCATCATAGCCTTTTGAATATACTCAAGGCATTTGACTGTCTCAGTCACACCTGCTTTATCTAGAATATGAAGAAAACAGACAACTTGAACAAAGTTTGCCATGGCTGTTGTACCATCTGGCCTGATAATACTATACTGCTTTTCTGGAGTCATTATAAGTGGATCACTTTCAAGGTTGCTTAAATTTGGGATCTTTTTAGCTCTTATTTTTCTCTGTCATGGAAAGAGAAAGAACAGATAACCTAGGAGATAAGTGATCGGTGTGTTGATTACCACCATTTTCTCCCCATGTACATGCTGACCTTCAGAGCCAACAAGCTCTTGTTGATTTCTGCCCCTTCCATCCGTGTCTGCCGATCAGCACTAGATGTATCTGCACCCCTCTCATTTCCAGCCAGATCCACCAAGGAAAATTTGCCAAACATTTTTCCTTTTCGGCGTAGTATGATTTGAAAACAAGCATGGGACCGGGATGAGCTGGCATTTGCAAAAGTCTGCCCAGATGTCCTATAGCAAAGATGAAACAAGCATCAGAATTGTGTCACAGAACATACAACAGATCATGACAACAGTAGAAAAGGCCTGAGATGCTTGATTTAAAAAGATTAATACTCTAGATTAATACTCTATATTTGCATGAATTATTGAATCACCTTTGATGCAAGAGCAGAAGGACTACTGTGAGAAATAGGTGAACCTACCTCCCAACTTTGAAGAACGAAGGCTATTTAAGCTGATTCCCCATTGAGCCAGCCTGCACTGGAGTGCCTGTGTAACTGCAAATGCCTCACATGTGTTTGAGGCCGGTAGCTCCACCATGCTCCCAGGGAGGACCCCACTCCAGCACTGCATCTCCCTGCAGCATAGCAGCCTCCAGCTCATTCTCCTAAGGCATCTGCCACCACACAGAGAACAAGGCAAGTTCCCCAGTTCACAGTATTAACTGTGCTAGTGCCCTTAGTATCATGGTAAATGCCCCTCTCCAGTAAAACTGCTTGGCACTTAAAGCCCTGATGAGCAACTACAGCTGCCCCAGTCACAGCTAAAGTTTACAAGTTGACAACCTCCCCTGTGACCCTCACCATGACAAAGCTGGCAGGTTCACTGCCCCCTCCCCAGCATCCTCACTTCTGAGAGGGAGGCTCTTCTAGGATACTGTGATGGGAAAGCAGAGTCTGAACGGGTGAAAAACACAAATTTCTTGAATGGCTTGTCAGCCAAAAACATTCAGAGTGCTGAGTGAGCTTTTATGATGTTCTTATCTGCACATGCAAAGTAATACAGAAGCCAAGAAGTGTTTCTGCCAATTCTCAGACAGTTCTCAGGCAGGTAAAATTTGCCAATAAAAACTTGGTGTTCAGAAGTCCTTGATAAAGACACACCAGTATGGCAGGAGTTGCCCCAACCACAGCCTGCAGCCAACCTGCCAGGGTTCTGAGTCTGTGGCTGTCCCTCACCACCACCTCTCGAAGATTCTTCAGACAAGATCCTTGCATGACCTGCAGTATTTTTCTTATCAGGAGAGCTCATTTGGCCTGCATTTAAACCAAAGCACTTTTGCAACTGTAGCCTGAGGACAAATGCTCTTCCTTGTTCTTATAAGGAACTATCAGTACCTCTGTCAACTAGGTGATAGTCTTAAAAGTGCAGATACAAAGAGTTGATCTGAGCATACTCTATCACTTGTGCAAGCAATCTCCTCATGTGAATGGTTTCTCCAGAGAGACGTGAGGACATATGGCCACTCTGGAAGGAAGGCTAAACCCATCCTTGCCTTTATTCTCCAACTGTCTGACTTTCATGCAGTGCCTGCCTGTTTGTAGGTATTGATAGACTTGCTCCTCTTTGAAAGTGTGACAGGCCTAGGCTACAGGATTAGTTACATGTTTTACAGACATCGAGTGTAACTCAACAGAACAGTTTCCATGCTGATTTTAGGGAACCAAACCTGCATGCACTGCCCATCTCAATCATTCTGATGACATCCTCAGCACAGCCAACTTGTCTCTCTTGGAGGCCAACCACCTGGACTTGCTGCTTGCCATCTTCCAGAACTCGAAGCTTTGTCTTCTTATTCAAGAGGTCAAACACCTGTATTCAGGCAGTGAGATCAAGGCAAATTTAAATGCAGTCTTTTAGTGTAATTTGCGCTGTCTTTATAGAAATTTAATGCCAAAACAGCACATGCTTAACATGCCCATCCAATTCAGTTCTAGACATGCCAGAAGATAAAAATAAGGTTCATTCAGCTACTTATCAAGCACAGTCAAAGAAATCAAGCAAAAATGAAAAACATACCTTCCCATTGTATATTTCAAAGAATGTCACATAGACTTCCAAATCCCGATTCCTATACCTGGGCTGGCTTAGGAGAAGGAAGACATCTTGTGCTAGCAAAGAAAAGGGAAAAGTTTAACTAGGTTAAAACATGTTTTAGTTGCTGCTGGAACACCTTTCAGATGAATTCTGCAATAAGGCAGTGTCTAGTAACTGAATGACAGGCATCCTACCATGTGGTAAACAGCTTCAGCAGCATCCTCATCTAGAGGCTGAGGACACAGTTGGGAGGGAAATGGAAGCTTCTACTTCTAAGGTCACCAGTAGACAGCAGTGCTTGCTGGTCAAGTTTTGTCAGTACAAGTACATTATCTGCTCTTTGGTAGGACATTAGGATATATGCCTTTATTTTGGACAGGCTTGAAGAGTCATGTATTTCCTTGAACTGCTTCTTGCAGACTGCCTAGAAGATGCTCTTCCCTAAGCATCTCCATTTCTCACCATTTGGAACCAAAACACCATACTAGCTGGTCCATTGGCTAGATCCAGTGCAACCTGTCATGATTAAAGGACTTCACATTTTTAAGCTCAAAAGCAAAAGTTTTCTTTCAGGGCCAGGTCATAACAGCTCATTTGTAAGGGACTATCAAGCAATTTTCATTGTTTCAACAGCCTCACTGCAGAGGCTGTTTTCACAATATGCCTTACAAAAGCAAAAGAAGAGGTCAGGATTCATTGTGCTTCACTAGGCATTATTGCGAGGAGGAACTTCTAAAAGCATTTGCTGTCTGAAAGCCTTTTATATGTGCTAGGAATTTTTTTGTATGTAATGCTTAAAAGAAAAAAGTATATCAGAATTATAAATAGGAAATATACAAATACATATAGCAAGCTTTATATCAGAAATGGGTAGTCTCCTGCTTCATTTAAGTCAAGAATTTCCAAACACAGTCTTTAGCTGAGAAAAAAAAATGAAACAGAAGTAATCAAAACCAAGTAGTGCAGCCTGGTAAGCATCAAACTAGAAGATATGTCCATTTGTTTCAAAAATAGATATCTTTTGATGAGTTTGTGTTTGATAGCAGGCTGACCTTACAAGCTAGACAGAAAATGTTGTTTGTGGAACTTGGTAATAACTAAGTAGTCATACCTCCTACGTAAACTCCACTACTTATTGGTGAAAGCACAAATGCTTTTACTTGGGAATACTTTGAGCGTCTATAAAGAAACAGACTTTATTGTCTAAGGAAAAGCACAGTTTTGATTCATATATCTAAAGAAGAATCAACTTACATGCAAAAGCATATATCCCCTTTGAGGCATTCTGTGCTCTCCCAGAGAAGTCTCCGCCCATAGTCTGCAAAGAGAAAGGCCATCACTGCAGGAGGGTGTAGCTCAGGCAAAGCAGGTTACCTTGAGTCCTGAGAACATGCTAACAAGTCATCATTTACAAGTTTGAATGTCAGTAGGATTATTGCAACATAGTGCAATTCAGGATAAAGTCAGCTTTGCGCTTCCATATCACTTCAGAAAGATGACAGAGGCTATGCAAAGCAGCAGCTGCATGCCTGTAAGGCTCTGCAGTGCTGACTCTCTGTGCGAGTTCAAAGGAGTTGTTCCTCCAAGAAATGCATGGCCTTGGCAGTAAAACCAAACAGACTAATTGGTTAGGTGCTAGATTTGCTACTGCTTGCAAAAAAACTGACTTGCATGGTATCAAAACACATCTGTCTTCTAGAACAGGAGAAGCTTTTTTTCCTAAAAGTATTCCTAAATACTTTCAGTCTCCAAAAGACTTTAGCTACTGTTATCCTGGTCGCTTGCTCTAACATTTTTAATATTAAACAAGGAGTCATTTACAAGACTAGTTTAAGAAGAGTTTAAAAAAACTCTCAGACCCAACAGGAGACATTTTCAATCTACCAGGGTTTAAGAGGTATCACTAGTTTCAAGAGCCAAAGCTGGTTCTGTGCTCTAGAATCAGAAGAGTAGCTTTCTTGCCTGTGATTTAAATGTTTCAAGGTTGTGTCAGATCGGCATATTTATCAGCCTTTGTTAAAAATAAAGTGGAGAAAGCTTTTTATTACTAGAAAAATCTCCAGGTAGTATGAAAATTTAATCTTCATACAGGTATGTATAAATCCTGCAGCTCACTGCAAAACATTAACAAGATAAATTCCTTGACTAAACCTTGTGTTTAATGCTAGAAGGTAACAGGTTAGTCTAGTCCAGTAGAGATCACTGTGGTATGAGGTAAAGGCTTCTTGTAGGACAAGAACAGAACTGGCTCCTATGTCATGGTGTGAGGGAAGAGCCTTTTCCAGTGGTCTTTGTGGAAGGCCAAAATTAAAAACAAGACGAGTTGCTGAAAACTCCTAGTTTTCAGCAAACACCTTCGAGAAAAGTCTCTAATTCTTTTAGACTGGTAGAAGTGGTTAAAAAAGTGAGTAACTACCCATTCGCAGCTATTATCAGACCAGTTAATTGTCCACTCTCTAAATGAGGCTTATTCTTATATACCCAATCAAGTTTTTGGAATTCCTCTAAAGTCAAAATACAATATAGACAATATTTTCATCCATCTTAGAAGCCCTAAATACTCGTATTTTGCAGACTGAAATTAGAGGCATCAGTTTGATGCGGTTGTAATAGTCTTGACTCTTAACACATCCTCAACACATACTTAGTTTTAAGTCTTCAGTAAACCTACTGTGAATGATTTAGTATTATTTTCCTTGTAACTCCAGAGGAAATGTGCTAATATTCTACAGAAAAAAAGATTATGAACTATTTACAAAATAACTATTTATATAATATTTAAAATACATAATTATAACTAAACCATTTACAAAATAACTAAGACAATCAAAACAATTCAATACACTTATGCAATCTTTATGCAGACCTATTAATTATCAGCATCTCAAGGAGCTTAAATACACTTTAGATGAAGCAAGAAAAATTGAGACCTTAGGGAAAATAACTTACATGTGTCTTGCCACTGCCTGTCTGGCCATATGCAAAACATGTTGCTTTTCCACCCTCAAAGATAGTCTGTACAAGAGGCCTAGCAGTGAACCTGGAGATTCAGAAGGTAAAAAACAGATAAAACTTAATTCACACTCAGATTCATATTTTTTTTTCCTAAGGAGGCATAGGATAATACTTTGAAAGGCCAATAAAAGCAAATTTTTAAGAAATCAAGGTCACACCAAAACTCAGCTTTACACTTTTCAGTGAATACTTTTCCCCAAAGTACATTTTGCATATACTTCAGGTGGCAGTTTAAGCAAGTATGCCATTGGGCTAGACATCTGTGCTTTTATCTTATAACTCATTCCTAGGAAGAGAGCATTACCTGTATACCATTTCATTGGAAGAAGATTCATCAAAGGAGAAGTCAAATCTAAATGCTTGGGTTTCTAGGTATTTTGTTAGATCCACTTTCAGCTTTGGCTCGTGCACCAGCAGGACACACTTGCTGGGAACAGTGATCACATCACATTCCTTTTTTAGAAGTTCTGTTAACGAAAAGACTCATTGTCAACATGAATAGACAATGTCTTAACAGCTCCAAGTCACAGCTGTCCTGCCAGTACACTCACCTTGTTTATTTAGAGGGCGTTTCCTGACACAGACACAAATCCTATGTTCTTCCATCTAAGAAAAAGTGAGAAAACACGTGTAATTGCTTCCTGCTTACATCCACATCCATTAGCACTAGGGAGACCAAAAAAATCAGGGTTCCCTCATATCTACCTTTCTACATATTCATTAGAGCTCCTCTGCTATAGATCAGTTAGCCACTCATGCAGAGATTTAAGTTGTAAAGTTAATTCAATACAAAAGAACTCTAAACAATAAAAACAATTTAACCATAAATAGCACACCCAACATATCAGATGATATGTTGTCCTGGAGTTTAAGTGATAAAGTGAACTTAGATATTTCTTCAGCCCAGTTACAGAGCTTTGAAAAATATTTATCTCACTAGCTGAGGTAGAAAGGTAAAGAAAACCCATCTCCTGTCATGCAGCAATTCTGTACAACCAGCTGGTTCTCAGCCAAGTGCAATGCAGATGTGGAAACCACCTAGTGTACCAAGCTAGTCAGCAGCTCCTTTTTTTTGAACATAAGTGTTCTCATTTTTACTGATCATTACAAGGTTTTAGTAGCCAAAAACTACTTCCCTGTTTGGCTGTTTCTAGTATTAAACAATGCCATCTCTGGAGCTGAAGAGCCATCCCATTGCTCTGATTCCATCCCTACCCTACACTCAATTTTTGGCCTCCACCTTTTGCTTCTTGCTTTAAGTTCAGAGTTACTCAAGAATTAACTTAAGAATGGTAATATTCTCCATTAGTGTAGTCTGCCTTTATCTGATTCATACATATACCTAAAATAGACTAAACCGCTGCGTAACTCTACGCGTTACAAACTGGAAAGCACTGGTGGTGCCACCCATGGTACCATTCCATAACTGTTTAAGGGCCACCTCTTAGTGATGCGCACAAAATAATGGAAGGCAGCATGGCCTGAAAGAGGAGCAAAGCAAGGGACTTCATTTGCCACTGTGTGCCTCAATCACAACATCCACACAGGGTCTCTGTGGAGCAGTAACGCCCTCGTTTGCTTATATGCCAAAACCTGGAATACAAAATAATCAGAATATGCAGATGCAGCAGTCAGTGGCCTCAAAGTTTACTTACTGGGTCAGTTATAGATATTGGTTGGCAGTCCAAAGTTGCTCTGAATTCTCTGATCATCCGTGCAAATTCCCAATTTGGACAGCTGCTATCAAACTCCTGCACAAAAAAAATACATACCAGAGCATGTTAAACAGTCAACTGCACACAATCTGGATTTTTTTTTTAATGTAAAGGCAGCAAGATTCAGATTTTTCTGGATCTAGAAATAATCCATCCTTAAATACAGGAAAAGCAAAGCCTGCCACTCTATCTTTCCACTTGTGTCCAAAATATGATTTAGTTTGACTTCGGGAATATATTATCCCACAGAATCTCCTTTTATTAGTGTGTTGTAGAGAATACTCCACCTGTGCACGTTTTGTCCTGATTTCACTGATCTGGGCTCTCTTTTCTTCTCTCTTGTTTTTCATTTTCTCCATCTCTTTCACAATGTTAGACCTTCTCCGAACTAGATAAAAATCAAAATGTTTCCTTATATTAAATTTTCACTTCATACATTATAAGCACAGCATTTTCCAAATATTTCCAGCTTTGCCATGTTACTGAGAGACTAACTTTTACAAGAAAAAAAAATCTTCAGGATGATTGATTCCAGTAGTTTTATAGTCTTCTTTTTCAAGGCCTATGTGCCAACTATAGAAGCCAGCTAGCAACACACACCATTACTCTGAAGTAAAAGTAGTATTTCTGAGGAGATGGTCCTTTAATATGATTATATATTTAAAACATACTCAAAATTGAACTTACAGACTGAACTTTAACCTACTTTTAAATCCACCTTTTAACTTTTGAATGTACAGAGCAGCAGTCACTGAGATGCTTTGCTGACCAGTGTGTCAGTTTTCAGGCACTGCTCCTCATTACCTGGGTTTGATGAAGAGCTCGTTCTAGCAGGAGGCAGATGTTCCTCTGTGTTTCCATTTTCATTTGTCAGGGAAGGCTCTGGGACACAGCTCAGCCTGCTAGCCCTGGTCCTGCCAGCTGCAGAAAGAAGAGGGATCCAAGACAATAATTAGATCCTAAAGACCAAGAATAATTTTATAATTTGTAGAGCTCAATATGACTGTGGAAAGGAAAGGAATAATAAGCCTGTTAATAAGCTTTTAATCTGCTCAAATTCATAAGCAGTCTGGCACTCCAAAAATTCAAGTTATTGCTGTCTTAAGATAATATCCTCTTGAGTAAGTTTTTAACCTCCCTCCCATCCTAGACACTAAGGGCCCCCAGCTGGGAGAAAGGAGCATCAAGTGCCCTTCACATCAGGCTCCTGCATGGGAAAGGTTGCAGAGCACATAATCAGCAGCATTAAGACACTTCTTCCCACTTCCAGCGGTGCAAATGCCCCTTTTTGCTGCTAAACAGATACCATGTCCATCCATGTGCATGACTGCCACTCTGGTTAGCAGAACATGTCTTCTTATTTTTGGGATCCTTTGAAAATCCCTTCAGGAAGAAGCTTTGGATATTTATTTATCAGAGACCTCTTAGCCTCTCTCTTTAGATCTGAAGGAGCTGGGGGAGGGAAGGGTGGGACAGAGAGAGTTGCTCCTTTTCTTAGGCTACAGTTTACCTAATTAAATACATATTTAGGTGTCTTCATATTAACAATTCTGGGCTTTCTGCACTCACTAGGAATTGCTGAATTGTTTCTGGTTTGTGTAGAAGTGCAGGGATCCACCTCCATCTCATTTTCCTGGTGATTGCTCTGAGACTCTGTGATAACAGACATCCTGGTGGAACGGCCACGCAGACCTTTGGAGATAGAAACTTGAGGTTAGTGTTGTACATCAAACACAAGCATAGAACAGAAGGCACCATGGTGTTGTTAAAAGGACCATTTCCACTCCTCAGGTAAATTAACAAAGTACAGGGTGAAGCAAAGCTGAGAAGGCAGGTGAGTAAAAAGTGATCACAAAATGTACAACTAGAAAAAAAGCAAAGTATAGTCCAGATAGCACTAAGGATTTGCTGCTAAAGTGGTTCCAGAACCTCAGCAACCAAAAGAGGCAGTTCAAAAATCTTACAGATCTTTAGAAAGGTTCATTTTGCTGGCAGTCTCTGTAGTCACTTATTGAAGTATATTTTTTTTTTATTTCTCTGAGACCAAATCCCTGCCCAAACTCAATTGCAAAGCTTCTGGATGAAGAGATCAGAACATGGTTTTCCATGTACAGAAAGCAAATATGATATGAAAAAAATCTGAAGTGCAGCATGAATATCAGAACTACCATCACCTCTAACAATCACAATAATTTATTCAGAATTAATCTCTATGATTTCCTTGGGATTTTTTTTTTTTTTTTTTTTTTTTTTAATTTACCACAGATTAATTCCCATTCTGGATCAAATTCTTTAAAAACCCATAAAATTTCCTTATAGCCCATGAAATTCAGCACTTATGTATTTATTAAGTCTTTACCTGGAATCTTCTGATCTGACGCAGAGACATAAGGTGCAACTTTAGGGACAAAACTCAGCAGCATTTTTCCTGAACGAAACAGTGCCTTAGACCAACTGAAGGATTTGCTGCATCTAAATGGGTTTGTTTCAAGTAATTCTTGTGGTAGGAAATACACAGCATCTTCCAGAATTTAGTTGGAGAACTTAAGCAGTAGTTGTTTCTCAGTTAACTCTTGAAGCACTGTTTACTACTGCTGCCCCCACTTTCCCGAGGAGCTCGATGCAGTACACAACATGCTGAGATGGAAACAGATACCTCCTGATATCTGTTATTACTGAAGCCAATGTTAATTTTCTAATTAGTGCAGCATAGAGTTTACAACAGGACAGAAATTCCCTGTCACTCAAAGGATTTAATAATATTTGAGGAACACTGAACATGTTGCTTCCCTTGTGTCCTGTGAACAGGTCTTTGGGGACAAGTGTGCCTGCAGCAAAGGCAAGAGGCATTTGAGATTTGCAGCTAGAAGCTACATTTTAGGAAAGCAGTGACCTCTCATGACATTTTTCTATCAGTCAGTTACTGGATTAAAACTCCTTTATTTCACCAGTTAGCTGCCCAGTTCCATCAACTGACCTGTTCACAGAAAGCAGACACTTCTGTAGCCAGTTCAAATTTATGGATAATTCCCTGGATTTGAGAAGGATCAGGATGATCTGTCAAACATGATTCTATACTAGATCAAGTTTCTCAGACTATTCCTGTCTCTCAGAAAGGGAACTGTACTGTCTTCTGGTACCATGTTCCCTCTCCAGCATCACATGCAAGGGGCAGGAAAATCAGCAGTTACAGACCACTTACATGGAAAAACACAAGTTCTGACAACGGATACATTAAGAGTGTACATTAACTCTGTCACCACTAAGCCTCAGCATCATTTAAGTTAGCTGCTATTTTCAACTCACAAAAAGCCACAAGTCAACAAAGTTAAGAGAAAATAGAGAAGATGGGAGTTTTCCAGCTCCTGACACCTCAAGCAAAGCAATTCCTCAGCAGTCCCACCCTTTCAGATGTCTGAAAATTCTGTGCTGGCTTTGCTGAAACTGTTGGCCTGACAAGCACTCGGTGAGCTGTAGCACACCAGCTAACATTTCAGGTGCCTAGTCTGAAGCATCTCCAGGAGTAAAGCTCTAGCTATTGCCTAGGGGGACTGTCTGAAGATGAGATAATGATTTGTCATGAGTATTTCTTTCTGCCCTTTCCACTCTCATTCTGACACTTCTTTTATCTTAATTAGTGTCAGTCACCTTCTGTTGTCTGTGGCATTAGCCAAACTCCATATGAAACTTCACAACCCAAGCCAACAGGATCTGCTTAGTGACACTTAGAAGAGCGTCAAGGGAAGAACTGCAGCAATGCTATAAAAAAGGGCAACACATCAACAAACCCCAGCTCACAAGAACACGACAGCAATCTGCTGGCACAGGTCTGCACTCAGGAGTCCAGAATGTTTGTGCAAACCAGCATGCTCAGAATATTCATTTAATAGGATGCCTTTGACTACAATGTGGTGGCTAGAACTGAAAACACCCTCTATTTCATGTGGTCATAGCAGGGGAAAGAATGTTTGCTCACCTTCACGTGGAGCAGGAATTTTTGAAAGGGTTGTTCTGCGTTTCTGGAGGAAGAAAGAAAGGAGTGCTATAAGTAATCAGAATAAGTCATAAACACTTAGCACAAGCCTAAAAGACAACATTAATACAAAAAGGCTTTCTGACCAAAACCCAGCTATAAGATAGAACACAAGTTAGAGACCTCAAACTCTGAAAATGATTGTGTTATAACACTTGTTTTTCAGCCTGCTGCTGTTGACACTCAGGAAAGACTAAAGTACGTAAAAGCACTTACCTGTACAGCTATATTTTCTTGCAGAGGAAGATTTTCTTTCACATCTGCAGATGGTATTTCTTCTGCTAACTCAGGATTTATTGTTATCACATCGCAAATGTCAATCTGCAACAGCAGAAGCAAGATTTTTTACAGAATGAAATGTTGTTGCAACTGCTTACAGCCTTTTTTTTGCATTGAGCTTCATTTTAGGCAAACAAACCTGACCCACTGCTTGCCCGATGTTAGCTTAAAATTGACCTGACCAACAAGGTAGTCCATATTCCCTGTGGAGAGTCTCATACACCTGAGCACGCTAAAAGAAATGGGCTAGTTGGACCATTTACCCTCATCTGCCAAACAGCACACAGCTCTGCAGGAGCCATGGAGCTCTTATGGAGAGAGAGGCAAAGCACATTTGGCATCAAGCGCTTTAATCCCTTACAGCTAATCTTAGTAAATCTCAGCTGCTCTGACTTCTGTGCAAGAAGAGCATTAAAGGTTTCCTGGGCAATTGCACTTGCCAAAATAAACTTCAAAGAACTACTTACACCTTGGAAAATGCAGAATTCGGCATTAAATCCACGGCATGTCTGGTCACCTACATTTTCCCTTGCTATTGGAAACAATTTCACCTAAGGACAGCTGGAAGCCTCTGCGTGACCCTCCGGTGAAGTCATAATCCTGCGTTCTGCACTTGGAAAGGCACTGCCACAACAACCAGGGCAGCAGAGCCACCGGCAGGCAGACTGGCAAGGACAACCTCACACACAAAAAACACCATCGCTTCTTTTGGTCTTTCAAACCTAAACTTCTAAATTCTAGTACTAAAATCCTAGTTTTGCAGCAGCTTACACTGGAATTCGCCTACAGTCAAAGCAGCACAAAAATCACACCAGGATGTGCTTAAGTCCTGAAGTAATCTTTGATTTGATTAAAAGGAAAGTCCATGCAAAGAGCAAAAATAAGCAAGTGAGCGCCATAAAAGGTGATCTCTTTCTCATGCAAGAGGCATAATTGCTACCTATAAAATGTGATTTTATACAGAAATAATAACTGTTCAGAAATACACTTATGAGGACAGTGCATGAGCACATTTGCTGCTATATTGTGAACAGCCTCTTCTCAGAGGCATTATAATTCCACACTGAATTTATTCAGTTATATTGACAGCATTGCATATTTGAATGTAGTGAGCACACAAATGACACAAGACCAACTCAAAGAACTAGTCAGTGACAGAAGACTTTACCTGAGCTCTAACCTACATAAGGTCCCAGGGTAACTGGCAGGACAAACACGTTGTCTGGCTCTCCAGAAGAGGCTAAGCGGCAGGTCTTCAGTTGCATCGCCCTCAAGAGCCCTGGATTTCTGCATTCCCCACCACCCGCACACGCTATTTTATTGTGCGCTAGCAAGGAGGTTTTAGAAATCAGACTTAGCTCAATATACCAGCTGAACAGTCACACTTTTACTAACTCCTTTTGTCTTGACCTGCTACAAGGAAGACTTAGTCTGACCTGAAGGGGGAAAGTCAATACTAATGTGGCAGGTGCAGCACAAGACCCCCACACCCCAAACTCTGTGTTTCGCTGTGACACTTCTGACTAGCACTGACCAAGACATGATTCAAGTGCCAGCATGACCTGGGTTGCAGCCCCCGCGTGTCACGCTGAGTGACACTTTCCCCGTGCAAAATTGCTAGTGCACAGTGAGCAACAAGCAAAACACAAAAGGAAAAACACAGCAATGCACAGTGGAGCCAAAGAGCAGCACTGACCTCCTTGCCCTTGACGGAGCTGCCCTCGGACCACTCCACGGACACGGTGCGGCGCTCGGCGTTCACCGCGCGGATCGTGGCGGTGTGGATGAGGCCTAGGAGAGCGCAGGGTGAGTCCCGCGCCGTGCCCCGCGCTCCCCGCCCGTCCCGCCGCCCCCTCACCGTTGCTCCGCTGGATGTTGACGACGCGGCCGGGGCACATGTGGCGGCAGAGGCGGGGGTCCATGGCGCGGCGAGCAGGGAGGCAGCGCGCGGGCGGGCGGGCGGGCGCGTCCCCACCGCGGCCGCAGCTAAGACCGGGCCCCGGCAACCGCCGCCGATTTAAACCCCGCGCGCGGCGTGCCGCGGGGCCTGCCGGGAAGCGCCGGCGCGGCGGGACGGACTACGCCTCCCGGCACGCTTTGCGCGCACGGCGGACTGCAGCTCCCGGCAGCAAGGAATGGGGCCCCGCGGCCCCCCGGCACAAGAGCATGCCGGGAGTTGTAGTCCGGCGCGGCGGGGGCCGCTAAGAGGCTGCGCTGCGGGACCGCAGAAGCGCTCGGGGGATCGGCTGGAAGAGGGGGGGAGTGGCGCGTCCCGCGGGCACCGCCTCGGTAGCGGGAACCGTTTGTCGGGATCGGGTGCTCCAAAGGCTGCTCTGGTCTGCTGCTACCCCCCGGGCGGAGCCAGGAGCCAGAACTGGCCCAGGCCGTGCCCCGCCGGCAGCTGTCAGGAGGGCACTAGGGTGGCTGTCGGGAGGGTACTGGGATAGCGGGGCCAGGGACATGAATGCGTGGGACGGAAGGTCGGTGCGTGCAGCCTGGAGGAGCTAGAGTAGGACACGTGTCTCTGCATGCTGTAGGTACTCAAACAATAGTCTGTTTTTGACCAGCCATGGGCAGCTCCGCCGAAGCAGAGCCTCAAAAAATTCCTCGACACTCGTGCCTGTTCCTCTCCACGGAAATCTTTAGTAAAAGGCGAAAGATTTATACGGTCTGAAGAGAAACCAGAGTATGAACCGCCCTGCGGCACCGCAGCGAGCGCCGCCCGCCCGCCGCCCCCCAGCCCGCGGCGACCCCCGGCCCCGCCGGCCCCGCCCGGCCGCTCCGGCCCCGCCGCGGGCGCGCGGAGCTCGCGGCGCCGCCCCGGCCCGAGCGGCCCCGCAGGCGGCAGCGGGGCCGTAACGGGAACGTAACGGGGCCGGCGCGGTGCTGCCGCGGTGCAGCCTGGGTATGCTAATGAGGGAATTCTAATGAGGGACACTAAGGAGGCCGCCCCGCCCGTCTAACGACCGTCGGGCCGCGACGGCGCCGACGCCTCAGAGCAGGGAGAGTGACCGGCCGCCAGGGGCGCCCTGCCGGGACACGGAGCCGGGAGAGCAGCGAGAGCAGCCGGCAGCCAGGGCGCCCCCTGCTGGCACGCAGGGTCCAGAGAGCAGCGACAGCCGCCCTCTACCTGCCATGGGGCCAGGCGCTGCTGCAGAGCACATCATCTCATCAGACTCATTACTAAGACTTATTTCTGTTTTTGACCAGCACTGGGGCAGCTCCACCGAAATGGAGCCTCAAAAAATTCCTCGACACTCGTGCCTGTTCCTCTCCACGGAAATCTTTAGTAAAAGGCGAAAGATTTATACGRTCTGAAGAGAAACCAGAGTATGCCCCATGTTGCCCGCCGCCGCCGCTCCACCGCCGCGCGCCGGCACCCAGCACACGGCGACCGCCCGCCCCGCCGCCATCGGCCTGGCCCGGCCCGGCCGAGCTCCGGTGCCGCCGCTGCGCCTGCCCTGCCGCGGACACGGCGGTGAACCGGGTGGCGACGGGCGCAGAGCGGGCTCGACGGGGCTCTGCTCTGGCGCGGTGCACCCTGGGTATGCAAATCGAAATATGCTAAAGAGGGACATGGTAATGAGGCGCCGCTGCCGCCCCAGGGCGCAGGCAAGACGGAAGGAGGGGGCGGAGCCGCCGAGGCGGTCCTGGCTCTTGTACCGGTCCCGCAGCGGTGACGGCAGCGACAGGGGCCGGCCCGGGCAGCGCGGCGGGAGGTCCCGCTGCCCACCCAGCCTCCCCCAGCGCCCTGCTCTTGTCCGCCAAAGAGACAGGGCAGGGCCACAGGGTAGGCACGACCGCGGAGAACAGCCCGGACCTTCAACAGGACGCTGGGGAGTAGAATGGAAGATCTTTTAATAAGAATAAATCTGCTTTTAACCAGCCATGGGCAGCTCCGCCGAAGCAGAGCCTCAAAAAATTCCTCGACACTCGTGCCTGTTTCTCTCCACGGAAATCTTTAGTAAAAG